AGCCGGTCATGCGAGACATTAAGCTTTACTGATGCCAAGATATACCACATCTACCACTTCCCCCATCCACAAGGCTTTTTACCCTGTCAAAGAAAGCTATTAGGTTGTTCTGATATGATTTGTTCTTGACAAATCCATGCAGACGGTTACTTATCACCTTAATTTGCGAACATCTGGAAGATGATGATTCATTATTTGCTTCATTTATCTTTCGGGAGTACTGAAGTTAAGATGACTGGTCTGTAATTCCCTGGGTTGTCCTTACTTTCCTTTTTTTAGATTGGCATTATATTTACCCTTTTCCAGTCCTCTGGAATCTCTCTGGTCTTCCATGACTTTTCAAAGATAATAGCTAATGGCTCATCTCCTCAGTCAGCTCCTTGAGTTATCCTAGGATGTATTTCATCAGGCCCTGCTGACTTGAAGACCTCTAACTTGTCTAAGTAATTCTTAACTTGTTTCCCTATTTTAGCCTCTGATCCTACCTCATTTTCACTGGCATTCACTATTAGACGTCCAGTTGCTACTAACCTTTTTGTGAAAACTGAAACAAAAATGTCATTTAGCACTTCTGCCATTTCCACTCTTTCAGTTTCTCTCCTCCCTCTTCTCCCCCCCCCGCCCCAACTGAGCCTACGCTGCCCTTGGTCTTCCTATCTTTCCAGTGAGATGGTTTGCTCTTATGCCCTTAATATTGTCTCTTTGAAAGACTACCAACTCTCTTGAACTATTTTTCACCTTAGACTTGGTTCTCATGGGATCTTACCTACCAACTCACTGAGCTTGCTAAAGTCTGCCTTCTTGAAATCCATTGTTTGTTGTGCTGTTTTCCCCTCCTACCATTCCTTAGAATCATGAACTCTACCACCTTCACCTAAGATGTCTTCCACTTTCAATTCTCAACCAGTTCCTCCATATTTCTCAAAATCAAATCTAGAAGGGCTTCTCCCCTAATACCTTTCTCCACCTTCTGAAATAAAAAATTGTCTCCAATACATTCCTGGAATTTGTTGGATAATCTGTGCCCTGTCATATTATTTCCCAACAGATGTCTGCGTAGTTGAAGTCCCCCATCACCAGTTTGCTTTGGACGATTTTGTTAATTGTTTAAAAAAAGCCTCATCCACCTCTTCTTCCTGGTTAGGTGGTGTGTAATAGACCCTACCATGACATCACCCTTGTTTTTTACCTCTTTTATCCTTACCCAGAGACTTTCAACAAGTCTGTCTCTTATTTCCATCTCAACCTCGGTTCAAGTGGGTACATTATTAATAAGACAACACCTCTTCCCTTTTTCTCTGCCTGTCCTTCCTGAGCAAGCTGTACCCTTCTATACCAATATTCCAGTCATGCATATTATCCCAATTGTGATGCCAACTATGTCATAGTGTTTATTAACTAGTATTTCAAATTCTTCCTGCTTATTCCCCATATTTCTCAGATTAGCATACAGACATCTAAGATACTAATTTGATTTCCCCTTGTGTTCTCTTCTCTCCCTTATCCCTACTGTAACGGCCCATGCTCCCCCATGATCCACACAACTATTTCAACTACAGCGATTATTGTGTCAGAGTTGAATTTGTCTCTTGAGCTGCTGTATTTTTTGTTTTGTATTTAATTTAATCATTGCATAGAAATTAAATTAGTTTTGTATTTAGTCAGTAACGTACTAATTTTAGATAATTACTTGGCTGTTCCTTTATCCCCATTGTATTACGTTACTCATTCTCAAGTCTGACTCTATACAAGTTTACCTTGCAGGAGGTTCATTGGGTGGAGAAGGTAGGGAAGCCCTGATGGTCCTGGGTGCTACATCTCAGCTGGGAGCAAACTAAATCAGTATCTTTTGATGGTGGTGGTGACTTGACCTCTGAATATGTCTGTCCTGTAGGGTGTCACAACTTGGGAAGCCCAGTTTAATTCACTTAAAATTTGGTAGAAAAATTCTATCTCTGCTCCACAAGTAACGTACCAATCTTGGATGAATTTACTTTTCTATGGCTTGGATTTCTTTAGAGTGACAAACATCAGGCTTATAATGGAAACTTAGTTGCATCCTTAACTACGTGGAATGATGTCTCTTCTCTCCCTCTCTTCCCCACCCCCCTTCTTCCATAATGTTCAAACTGGGGTAAAAATCTTTTTTGGTTAATTTTCTGGCCTTCCCAGTCCATCTCTTTGATCTTTGTCTATTTAGATTTGAAGTACATCAGAGCATGGGCAGGGCGTGGGTGTTAACAGCACTGAGCACAAAGTTGGTTCTTAACCAATTCATCATTATTTATTGTTGTTGTTTTATTAAGTTTATTATTTATTAAGTTATTCTGGAAGCATGGCTTCTTTTCATTAACCAAACAAATGAGTCAAATGAGCAGGGTTCTTATAAGATCTTTTCTTCAGATAATACCTGGACAAAATGCTGGACTTACAGGGACAAGGTGGGTGAGGTGATATCTTTTTTTATTGGACCAACTTCTGTTGGTGAGAGAGACAAGCTTTTGAGCTTACACAGAGCTCTTCTTCAGATATGAGTAAGCTCGAAAGCTAGTCTCTGTCACCAACAGAAGTTTGGTCCAATGAAAGATATTGCCTTTCCCACCTTGTCTCTAAAATACTGGGACCAACACGGTTTCAATAACAGTGCATACAGGAATGGACTTACAGGGATCTTTCTTCACAGCAGACATAAAGCCCGTAAAAGAAGTCAAGAGTAAATGAAATTACAACATTTTAACATTGATACTTTTTGTTCTGTAGCTAGATGGTGGAGCTCGGTTGTCTTAATGTGACAGCAGGGACCCAAAGTTAGCCTGAAATACAGCTTTTCTTCAGGTCTTTGGGTCCTTGCCTTCTCTAGAACTTATATAGTGTCTTAAACAGGATCTTTCAAGGTATGTAACACAGCCCATAGAGATGAGACAGAAGCTAAAACAGTATGAGGCCTTCAGCTAACTTCCTTATTGATCAGGGTTTAGATAATTTAAATTAAGAGCGTTGCTGTTAGCTTACAGGAAACATGCATTCTGTCATAGGAACAATTCTTTTGAGAGGTCAGTGAATCATGGTGCAGCAGGCAGAAGATTTCTAAAATCAGGCTATGAGGAATCTGCCTTACAGGTCAAGGACTGTCTGTGTTTGTACAGTGCCTAGCACATGGGCCGTGATCCTGGCCAGGGCCCATAGCCATCACTGTAATACAATTAATTAAAACAATATGACCCGGATGTGTCTGTCTAAATATTGCTTTTAGGATGATGGATTAGGGAGTCAGAAAAATTGAGTTCTCTTTCCAGCTCAGCCATTGACCTTGAGCAAATCAGTTAACTTCTCTGCCTTGGTTTCCCCCTATCCTTTGTCCATCTTGCTGCTGCTTTGCAGTGTTTCAAGTGTTGGAGACTACACCATTAAGTTTTTAGGTTTGCTGTGCCATGCAAACAGCTGTTATGTAGTTTACCTAACTTTCAGAAAGAAGTCTGAATACTCAGGCTTCACCTGTCTACCAGTCTATCTTTACTGTATCAAAACAAAATAGCTCTAGTAAATATTTGTATTAGCCAACACCGATGAAACAAGATGTCTGTTAGTATAATCAGACACCAGGGACCTTGAATGTAAAGTCTGTAACCATAACAGTATAGTTGAAACCAAAACACAGCTCCTGAATGGCACAACTCTTAATTCTCTGTAGTGTGATACAAAGCAGTCTGAGCTGAAATTTAATTTCTAGTTAGTTAAACTGAACAGATGATTTTACATATAAAGTGTATTATTCAGTGTCATTGTTCTGTGTCAGTTGTCTTGGTTTGTTTGGAAGTGTGCTTATGTTTGCATCCTGATTTTACTGAGGGAACTGGCATTTGCTTTTTAATTGTAAAACTGAACAATACAGAAGACATTTTTTTATTCACAGCTAAGATTTTGACACTGCCTCAAACGTATGGTTTTATAATCTCAATAGCTATTACAGTTAAGTCAGACTTTCCACTATAAACTCCCGTTCAACATTTTTTAAAAGTTGCTATGCTAATATTCTGACACTTACAAAAAGGTTTTGTTAGAGTGGACCAAGAATTTGGAACTTGCTACTAGAAGAAAAAAGCATGGCCACTAAACTTGCCACATGCAGAGCGAAATGTAAAACTTGCCTCTTTGCCTAAGCGTCCCCTCAATAGTACCTTGAATCTCAGATTCATTAAAAGGGTTTTTTAAAGTCTCCTTTTTTGGCATCGAAAAGATAGAGCACAGATTTTTTTAAGCTTGTAGGAGATGGAATTGGGTTCCTACCTGCAGCAATTTAGCTATATTAAAAAAGGACTGAGGCCTTCATTTTTAATATTTTTTTTTTTGTTCGTTGCCAACAACAATTTTGCAGACGTTAAATAAGATACCGTACTAGTAATGACACTGAAATGGGACAGTTTTTAATTTTAATTTCAATTTACATTTTAATCTACATTTCAATACTACAAATTTTCATTAGGTTGGGGCTTTTCAAAACTACCAGTAATTTAAATTGCTGATGGAAATTGCCTGGACTTAAATTGCTATATCCCTTTGTCAGTGCACATGAATTTTGTTCTAGAAACCTAAATATACCAGACCATTCCTTTTTGTAAAATAAACATACCAAGCCAACACTAGTTCTTACCCTAGTGAAGCAAAAGCAACTCGTGTTGCTCTTTTGCACCCTTGTGTCCCTATCTCCCTCTCTCTCTTGGACTTGAAGCATCCTTGATTCTACCTGGGGGATGCTGTTGAGCTCCTCTGAACCAGACTTACATTAATTAAACAGAATCTAATTAAATGCAAGGTACCTTTTGTTGGTTTGCTCTATGTATCTTCAGACCTACCAAGCCTCTCTCACTCAAAGGGAAACTCCCTCAGTTGTGATTGTTAAAAACAGCATTAGCATTCTTTCTCATGGAAGATTTTGCAATACGGTTAAATAAGACTTAAATCCTCTTTTTTTTTTCTTCATTTCCCTTATTCACATTCAGACTTTGACAACCTCCTGTTTTAAGCAGACAAGTCTTAACGGGGCACCACATATAATTTGGAAGAATGAGTTAGAGCTTGTCTACATGGAGAAGTTATTCCATAAAAAGGTAGGGTGTGAATTTAAAGCACAGTAGCTATTATGGAACAGTTCCCACTGTGGACTTTCTTACTCTATAATAAGAGCCTCCACCTGGGGGCCTATTCTGGAATAACTATTCTGATCAGCTTGGCCATGTAAACAAACTTAGTTATCTCCGTTCTCCCCGATAGAAGAAAAATGGGGGGTAAAGGGAAAGCTTCCCTCCTAAGGGCTTGTGCAGAACATGTTACTTTGGACCACTTTGATTAAAATCCTACAAATTAAGGAGGACGTGTCATTGGCTAGAAGGATTGATCTGTTCAATATACCCCTAGTAGATGTGGTGAGGGATAGGGAGTGAAATGAAAGACTAGAAATGTTGAACACTCCTTTCTCTGGTCTCCAGTATCCAAGAGTCTGACCGAAAATTATGCAAGCAAATAAATTCATGTAAGGCTTTTCCAGTACTTGGGTATGCTGGGTGCTCGTTGTTTCTTATTACTGCCAGTTGTGTTGAGGTGTTGAAATCCTGATCCCTTAAGAATGTGTTGTGTAGGAAAGAGTCACACATACTAATGTAGGAGTGTGCAAGAGACCCTCAGAAGCACTTAATCAAACATTCATTCCACCTGTACAGTATCAGCATAGCTAAATAACTCTCATAATTTTGGAATCTAAGAAGTGGAAGAGCATTTCAGGAGCTTTGGAATTAGTTTCCAAAACTCATTAATGTCTGCAAGCTTTGATAATGACAAATGGTGATTATGATACTGGTCCAGTAGAAACAGTAATCAGAAATGTATATTTCTTGAATTGCAAGCACAGTTGAAAGTGTTCTCTGAGATCCTGGAAGGGTTTCAAACCCTTAATTTTTTCCACTATTGGGGATTTGCTTTGCTTCCAGTATCCAAATGACTATATTCCTGTTTGGCGTTTATATGTAAATTGTAATACTTTTAAGAAATAAAACCCTCTTGGTCTGTTTAAGATATACAAGTAGTATACTGTTTAAGTATTTGTACAGCATTGGAATACTGTCTGCCATCTGTGCTAAATGTTTATTTTGTAGAATTCAGCCCATCTTTCTTGTTGACTCAGTACAGCTGTAAAAATTGACCTAATTCCTCTTCTCTCTCACGTGAATTTTCTTTCCTACAAGACGTAAAGGTGTTAAGCTCTGTAGGCTAAAGAAATTCAGAGGTGATTATGCTGTGGGACCGGATTATGCTGCCCTTACTTGGACAGAATTTAATGAAGTTGAGAATTGTCTATAACTTGTTCATTCTCTTTCCTCTAAAGAAGACTTAGGCTGGGTCTACACTGAAAAGTTATATCAGCATAGCTATGTCGGTCAAGGTGTGTGGGGGACGGGAATTGAAAAACATACCCAGGACTGACACAGCTGTGCTGACGCAACCTCCAGCGTAGATGCCACTATCAATGGAAGCAAACTTCTGTTGCCATAGCTAACTTCATTCAGGGAGGTGGTATAAGCTGCAGTTATATTACTGGGCTATGCTGGATTGCTAACCCAGTATAGTCTCTGTAGTGTAGCCATGTTTTGGGAAAGCGTTTAGAGCCAGTTACTTTCTATTCTAGATCATTGATCTAGTACATGGCTTTATTTTTCCTTAACTATTTCTCATTAAACTAATATCAAAGTTAATTTCTTGTTTTACATTGATCACTATGCACCCTGCCACCCTTCTTTGACACCTATTGACGGTAAAGGTGGAAGATCATTGCAGTAAGAGGACAAGAGCTCTAGGGCATGAAATATTGATAAGAAATACTAGACGCGAAGTTAAATAAAAATAGTATTTGTGACCTAACTTTTTGTTTCATGAAAAACATAGGTTTTAACCTTTTAAAAACATACCATTTTTCTTTAGTGCCAATTACATTATAAAAAAGTAGAAGCTGTTTAAGACTTTTTTTAGATTAGGTGGGGTTGGGGTAGAGGTAGAAAGTGAATTTTTTTCCATTTTTTTTTAGCTCTCTTATTCTAGGAGAGCTGTAGCACAATCTGAAAATTGGGGTCTTCGGTACATATTTGGAAAGTATCACAATATTGGTGTCACAGGTGTCTTGTGGCTTAACCGTCTTGTGCTACTTCACAGACTTTTCTCTCGTGTTTTATATGTCTATGCGTAAACTAGTTTCCCCATTCTTTTTTTAAATCAGGATGTGCTTGTTGGTGTTGATCCAACTGTACAGCATGTCTAAATAGAAATTAAAAATTCTTATTTATTATCATACAAACTTAAGATGTCACAAGTGGCTGATATTATATTTTAAATGTAGTGTATCAAGGTTATAATTTAAAAAGAGAACTCCAACCGTAAACACCAAGAATTATGGAAATAATTAGCCAAGGTAGCTTTTGTGTATAAAAAGCTATATTCCATTATCTTTGCATTTATTAGCATGTGTAATGAGTAGGGGGGAATTTTGCCACACCCCAAAGTCTGAACCAGAACACCAGTTAAGAATTTTTATATAGCTCATGGTTGAAAACTCCCCTTCCAAATTTTTTAAAGCTTAGGTTTAACTGTAATGTTACATTCATGATAGGAGCTGACCTGATGGCGCTGAAGTGGGAATTTCCTGTGTGTGCGCGCGCGCACGTCTCCTAAAACTAGAACCCCACACCTTATGCACTGGGTGCATAAAGTTTGTTGTATATGTTAAGTTTATAATAGTTTGTGCATAAAACTGTGCACCTGACAACTTTGTGTGGTGCCCGACTCTTGAGTCAAAGGGCGAGAGAAGTCTGGAGTTGGAGTGATGGAAGGTACTACATATGGGCATGGTTTGGAGGGTTTGTGGTGGGTGGAGTAGAATTTAACAAATATATAATGAGCACAAGATACCTGACCTGTGCTGGAGTGTGGAATTTTTAATTTTTAAATCCTGGAATCTCCCGAGCCACTCAAAGTGCCTTGATGTTTTAAAGCAGAATTGAAAGCCCCTTTCCCACATTCCCTCTGATAAACACCAGACATACCTCCTGTACAGCTGGGAAACTCCATAGAGAAGTAGCAGCATCTTCCTTGAGCCCAAGTTCTTTTGTTACTATTGAGCTGTTTAAGATTTCTTGCTTCTACAAGCAAACTGTCTTCTTGCTTAAGTGGCTTAACAAGAAAACTGTAAGGAGCGCAATAGATTCCAGTGCTCTGAAGAGACACACTAATCTCCCCAGTGTGCCTGGGCTACTACCAAGCTACCACCCTGTCCCTGCAAAATTCATACTGCCTTGCAAGAGTTCCTAAATCTGTGGAGGCTGGAATCAAGAACTCTGCAGGGTAATGAGATCTCACGTAGGCTTACCTGAAGACTTAAAACAATTTCATTTGGTTCTCTGGTATAAAATAGTTTTGGGTAAAAATTAAGTTGTGTTTGAGACTTGTGTAAATTTAGATCTAACTTAGCTTTGTTGTTGCACTTAAACTTATGTGTAAGTAAAACCTTAAAAGTAAGCGGTATAACTGATGTGCACATCTTATTTTCATCTAAGGGATTTTAACCCTGCTTTGACTGAAACTAAATGCAAATTTAACTATGAAGCTGCTAAAATGTCTCTAACGTAAAGACATCAAGAACATGGCAGGTGTAAAATACAGTAATATTAAAGTGTAGAAGAGGCCTTAAAATCCCCACTTAACTGTGGAGCTGTTCATACATCATGACTATCAATTTCCCAGCGTCTAGTATCAGTTGCTGCTTTAATGAATGCTGACACACATCCAAATGAGAAGTTATTAAACACTGAACAAATCAAAATAGGTGACCATACTTTAAATTCCAATTTGATGCAGGGGGCTAAGTCTGGTTATGCTCAGTCTAACAATTAATCCCAGGATGGTACGAATGTGTTTACAAAAATTAAATTACACGCTTTTCTGACCCATGTCTGTCTCTCCCCCCTCCCACCCCCCACCCCCAGTAAAATAGTTTTTGCCAACAGCATATTGTTATAGTGTTTAGCGGGGGGGGGAAATAGTCACAGTGCATTAACAATTGTTCATGATAATGAGCATTATGAAACATCCTATTTTTGGCTAAAAAGATTTCTAAGATAAATAGTTGTAATAGTTACAGAAGTGCATGTGATTTGGTCCTTTCTATAATTTTTTTTTAAACCTAAAAAACAAGCTGCAATTTATAAATTTGGTAGGTTATTTATCCTGGTCAGGTAGCTAGTGAGAGTTAGACTTCATAAGTGTCCTAGTAACTAGTCTATAATAACTTTACACTCTCTCCCTCCTCCCCTACTCACCACTCATAGTTGCTTGTTACAAAGATTTACCTCCCAACAGGATGAATACTGGCAGAATAAGATTGAGTTTCATGCACTCCTACTGAGTGGGTCTTTTGACCTTAGAAAGAGAACTTCTGCCTGTTATGTGGACACTGACCTCATGTCTCGGTGTAAGGTTTGCCCCCTCCCTCTAATTCAGTGGTCCCCAAGTTTTTCAGTGTTGCACCTCCCCTTACTTCTGTCTGCACCCCCTCCCCCACCCCAGGGCTGGGCATGGGGGATGTGGACAGAGGTAAGGGGATTGAGGCTAGGGTTGGGGCCAGGAGTGGGGCCAAGGCTGGAGGCGGGGCTGGGATTGGGTGTGGAGCTGCGGTCAGGGGATGGAGCTGGGACCGTGGCTGGGGGCAGGGCTAGAGCAGAGCTGGAAGTGAAGTGGGTGGGTGGTACTCCCTCTCCGCCCTGCCGTGGGGGCTGGCCCCAGTCCCACTGTGCCCTCTTGAACGTTCCTTTGCACCCCCCTATGGGTGCTGCACCTACACTCCCACTGCAGGGTGGAAAGATACATGTATGTAGCTTTTGTGAAGCACTTCATTATCTTTTGGGATGAAAGGCAATGTGCAAGGTTGTGTAGCTGTAGCAGAACTTGAGCCGTTTTGACACAGTAGTTACTGTTTCATGGGTATTGGCTGAAAATGGTTCAGAGTGCTTGATGTGTAGATCAGATTGTTTCCGCAGCGTACTGTTTATTCTCCTCCACTCCCCTCCTT